AGGTAATAAAATACTATTTTTAGTTTCAACCTTTAAAATTTTGTTTTTGTAAAAGATCTTCAAGCCAATAAAATTTGTGATTGTTTGGAGGGTGATCGTCATAAAATTTAGCCAATGAAATCAAAATCACAATGTGATAAATGAATGCTGTGTAATTAATTATAGTAATATTATTATTATTATTATTATTGATTATGCAAAACAAAATACCAATCATTCATTTATCATCTTGATGAGGATCTTATAATTACCTAGTGAAATCTGCCCCGCATTTTGATTTCAATTATAATAACTAAAAGACACCACATTATATCAATACAAATAAAAAAAAAAGTACCTCTGGTTACTTATTAACATGTCTTCTTTAGGAGAACCATGTTTTGTTGTTAAAAAGTAAATTGTTTTCCAATAAATAATTAATACACACACGTTTGTCAATCAATCATTTATTTTTTTTTCTCTAATAAAAATAAAAATAAAAAATGCCTAGAAGTAATAAAAGAGAAAAAGAAGGCAAAAAAGAACAACACGATGAGAAGTAAGTATTGTTTATCAAAAGAATGGGTTTGATGCATTACAAAATGATTAACAAAACTTCTGTTTCAAAAAAAGTAAAAAAATACTTAGTAAAAGTAAAAACAACAAAGAAAATATATGTTCTCATCATTCCCCCATCAACAATTATCATAAAGGTTTAATGAATGAGTATTTGAATTTTATCAAAAAGAAAAAACAAAAACCTAGATTATTTGGTTTTCTACTTTATATAGAGTATACTTCACACATTGATTTTCGAGATAAAATTGCTGAAGAGACAAAATTAACTTTACATCGTGTTTACCATAAAGACTAGTGCCGTAATCCAAAAAAGGAAAAAGTATGGTTGCAAAAGTGGTCGCAAAGGTAATTGCAACCACTTTTTATATGCTGTAAATACAATTACTACCATCATCATAATTTACAGCACTAGTCTTTAGTTTACCAGGGAAAAATGGCAAGTATTAATTTTTCTATCATATTCAATAAATGATGATATAATGAAGGAATATTTAAATTTTGTATACAACAGAGACATTTGACTGTTGTTTCAAAATATTATTTATCAAATGTGTAGCAGATCCTCTCAGAAGATAGTATCATTTGAAGTAAGATCCCCTTAATTAAATACCAATATACTTGAATGATATCTTCTTCAACAGAGTATTATGTCTGTTTGCATACTTTAAGTAATATGTCTTTGATGAATTATATTTATAATCTTTGAATAACCAAGACTCTTATTGCCATTTTTAGGGAGATAAACAATTTCAATCGGAAATTGATGGTGACATTTTGAAATACTGGAATCTATGTGGATCTGCTTTCAAACACAATCAATATGCACCTTTCATATTATTTATCAATAGAGCTATAACAGATTTAGATTGGGTCGATTTAAAAATCGAATGTGTTCAAGATCAAACAAATTTTGAACTGGCTCTGGAAAAAATCAGTTCAGTAAGTTAAAGTTCATTTACTCATTTGGTGTAAAAGTTCATCATACATTGGTTGATATGATTGGATGATTTCCAATATTAATATGTAATACTATCAATTCATGCATTGAACTCTATATATTTATATTTTTGGTACTTTAGTTGAAAGATAAGGAAAGCATACCACAAGTCGTTAAAATTATTTCAATGACAGTAAATTCTTCTTTTATAAAAAAGAATGATCTGATCTTGTCTGGAATCATTGATTTACAACATCTTCAGCCAGAGATTATTTATTCACTAAAAAAGTTCAATTGTTTGTGTAAACGTTCAAATAATTATCACAATTATTTACAAATGTTTAGATATTATTTAACACTGTTAATGAACTGATAATT